CTTGCTTCTATTGATCTACTCTTTTGCTTCTTTCATTATATAAACTCACACTAAAAGCGCAGTTTTATTACCTTTTAATCCAACGAAGAATTAACGTTCCAAGTCCGAAATGGTCAATATTATTTATTTCACCTACTTTTTTACGGTGTTAGAATTCATCTTATTTCACAGCAGTTTTCCCCCAGCCTATTCCCTTAGTTTTCTCAGCATGATATCATAAGTTAGATGACCGGCTCTCAAACGGCGCCATTTCGAAACCACATCAAAGAATTGTATGTCATTCGTGCGGTATCTCTGTGTATTTTAGTTTTGAGCTTCCGTTAGCGAATCCATGCCATATATGGAAGCAAACAAAATGGYCGATTGTTGAGRAGTGTTTTCGCTATAATATCTGCAAGTTTTAGACGATTTCAAGCTTTATAAGTCGAAACCARTCCAAACATAMTTCCAAATAAGGTAAGATTACCATATATGGCTGCCAACGAAGGAAACCTTTCCATGACAATTAGAGAAGAGGTGCCATAATGTAGACTGGGTATGAAATTGTCATCGACATAATCCTAACGTAAGTAAATAATGAATTTTATCATGACTATGTACATATATCTTAAGCTGTCAGACTCTGGAAAATCCCTTTTTTTTATAGTGTGGAAATTAACTAAGTCACAAAACAATGATATGGCCTGGCTTTTGCCGCTTCTCGCTGTGTTCTGGTCACACTAAAGTCGCCAGTTTCGAGCTTTGAGTTTTATAATGAAAAKTGGACGTGAGGTTTTTGTCATTTGTGTATAATTGATATGCCTGAATTATAGATATTTTATCTCAGAACTCGATCATTTTGACTTTAATTGTCAATATCAACAAAAAATTGCCACTTGAGATTGCGCTTCGTGTTTGCCCTCCGGCCTCATCTAAAAAACGTGACTGGATGGCTAGAGTTTGACTAAATCAATTCAAAAATTAAATGTGAGCTACTGTTAGCTTTCTTATCATGAAAATCGCATCGGCAAAAAGTACAATGCCATACATGATCAAGACTGTCTGTTTTACTCGTAATCTCACGTCAAGTTGATTTTKCAAGTTGTCTTGTAAATGACGTCGAGGTAGCACTAGTAGATATCATGTTATCATATAATTATCTATGAAGTACCTATATTTCTCCATTTCATAAAGTTAATATTTTCACTAGTGAAAATAACACATTCGAGGTTTCTCTATATAGCGGTAAGTAAGAAAAAGGTTTTTTTACGATAATTTACTTTCATATGTAATTATATCAGTGATAAACAGAATATTACATGGTCGCTTGGAGATATGAATTATATCTTCTCGTGCTGAAAATGAGATATCTTTTCAACACTCGAAGATAAAATCTATATCTCCAGGCGCCCAATAATAATAATATGTAATATCCTCTATATCACCTGTTTAGCCTGTCCGTATTTGGCGCAGGTTAGTATTTAACAGAACTCCCAGGTGCGATAGACGCAAGTAATTTGAGCTACAATTGAATCTAGATTCGTCGTCGCAGTCACATTATTCAGCTAAAATCATCACGTCAGTTCAGTAATTAAATCGTTCGCAGACTGATAGCCGATTCTGAACAATTGTACGTCGGGCTTTTTTGACTCAGAAATTAAATTTTGTTTTCTCAAATAATCAAAGAGCAGCGTGTTGTCTGTGAAATTGTATTTGCTGATAGATTGCTTCTCATAATGCAATTGACATGTTGAGCCAGTTTAACTGGTGAAGGCACCTGCCATTCAGTATTACAGATCCCTTGGAAAACCTTGTCAAAACCGACGTCGCGTTCTCAACTTGTGCCTTTTTTTAATATTAACGACTTCTAAGGTAAGAAAAGTAGTACTGTTAGTAGTAGAACTTTTTTCAACACTCTTTCAAGCCCAGAAACCTCACTAGTATTGATAATCGCTTTGAAATAATYTAAAAAAAGCTTTCGTTGCCTTTTAATGCTACAAATATTGATTTTGGATAGTTTTTCGACATCAATTTGTACTAGAAATGCCTCCAAAAGGTCCCTTGTTCGTGGGTATCGCGAAGCTCGCATGGTAAAAAAACAGTTGTCTTAATTTTGCTCGATAGAAAGTTCGAACAACCATCTCAAACAGTTATAACCAACCTTGCTTTTTATTTTGTCTAAAAGATGAGAATTTTTTCTATGAAAATAAATGTTTTTTTTAATTTTCTTTTTCTTTTTTCTTTTCTTTTTTGTTTTTGTTTTTTTGTTTTTTTGTTTTAAGTAATAACAATATCAGGGTTCTCAACCATAAAAGGACGAATCCGGCATTTTGTTTTTGCACAATACCCCAATTTCGTGTTCTGTGTTTGTCAGTATTGGCTTTATAACCATATGATACATGTATTCTTTTGTGYCATTGCAGATTTATTTCATTGGCCGTGGAAACGCACGGAATTGTTTTGAAAAGGGATTATACAGTTGATTTGGTTATCTTAATTCACAAGATTRCGAAGGCAAGTTCTAGCAAACTTGATTACGAACTGCAGTAGGTATAGTTCGCATAATCCTAAAAAAAAACAGTTCCTCAACAATCCCTGTCACTCAATGATTTTCTCTGTTTTTCAATTGATTTTACAGCTGTTATTTYTGATACAGAATTTTATGAAAAGTGAAATTGTACAAGTCGTACAATTTTTATGATTGCGTCGTAATTATGATAATCAGCAATACCACAAAATATTAACTCTCATATTCTGGATTGGCAGAACCGCGCAGCGACGGAACACAACCTAAATGCATATTTCCAATAAAGCCTGACAAATGCTGCTTTGTTTTTGTGATATTTCAAAATAATCAAAGCCTAAAAAATTAATTAAATATATTAAAATATCAAAATCAGACAACATCAGATGCCTGATTGACATTTTCCTATCACAGCACAGACGACGAGTCAGTAAATTTGTGATAGCTTGCAGGACGTCTAAAAAATCTTTTTTCGGCTTTCATCGTTTTTAAACCTGTTCATCGTTGTCATGTAGGCGGGAAAATGCGATTCAAAACGTATGATTTACATAGATGCAGTTTTTCTCGTGTTTTTTTTTAATGAGCTTTTTTGTGGCTTCCAAGTGCATTTAATTTTTTTACCAATTTTTGATCTTTCATTGACGTTTTTTAATATCTTTTCAGGCCAAACTTTGGATAATGGCGAATTCATCCTTCACAACTTATGACTTAGGAATAATGGACTTTCAGAGCAGAAGTACAGCCACCATCGCYATTGAAACAAGCGTGCTTGTGTTCTTCTCATCGGTAGCCATCACGGGAAACATTCTAGTCGTCTCGTCATTCTATCGCAGCCCWGCCATTCGTACCATCACAAATTACTTTGTATTCTCACTATCTGTCGTAGACATCATCATTCCTTGTACAGTTCTACCACCAACWCTRATTTGGTCCGYYAAAAGTCGCTTTGCGTTTGGCAAAMGTTTATGCAGTTTCCAAGCAGTCTGGAGCACGAGTCTTTTACTGGTATCACTTGTCAACATAACAGCGATGGCTGTCAATCGATTTGTTTGYGTTTGTAAGCCTCAAAARTACAAGAAAATCTTTAACCATTGGTCTACCATTGGAATTATAATCGGTTTTTGGATGATAGGTTTTACAGCTGTGATATGTACAGGGTTTGTGGGACATATGATACACGCTCGATTCAGCCCCTTCAAGATCGTGTGCCTTTATGTYTACACAAATGATGACTCCATAAAYGCTTTTGTTAAATATCTRCCRCATATGCTGGGACTAGGAGTGCCTTTTGGTATCATGCTATTCTGTTATTACAACGTTTTTAAAACCATTCGACGTCACAAAAAGAGYATWGAGCCATCATCWAATAGTCATGGACTAGGAACTAGCGTCCAGGAAATAAAAATCACACGGACGCTTTTTGCCGTTCTCTTGGCGTACTGTTTGACCTGGATTCCATTTTTTTCTGTTTTATTGGCTGCTAATCTATTTAAYCGTATTCCTCGTGAGGTTCAAATGATAGTMACATACGCAGCYTTCGGTAGTGGCGCCATAAACCCTTTGATTTACGGAGTCTACAACAAAGCGTTTCGAAAAGAATACAAGAAYATTTTGAATAATTTCAGACTTAACCTGAATTTCTAAACAGTACTTTTATATGGAATTGCCCGATACAAATACTTTTTAAAAAGGCCGATTTAAACTGTCATTATATTGATTAGACTCAGTCTTACAAATTAGTAGGTGTTACCTACAGATAGATGGGCGGCCAAKTGAACAACTCAGACGGCATTTCTCAGTGTGATTACCATATCTATTTTCTTTTTCTTTTTCAGTTTTCTTTTCCTTTTTTTCTTTTATTTGTATTTTTTGGTATTACAGACTTAGCTTCTGCTCTAGTGTTGTGACCTTTGGATTCTATTGAATTACGTATTTTTTAACTTCTTTGCTCTGGCACCTGAAAAAAGGGGTCAACTTCTCCGCGTATTTTGACTATTCAAAATGTCAGTAAAAGCGGGCTTAGCTTCGAATCGATGTATAAATTTCCCAATTGATCGTTTTCAATCATTCCCATGAGATTCAAAAGATAAAAGACCGGCGGCCATGTTGGAGGAATGAACAATAGATACTAATGAGAAATCCTTTGTTGAAGTTCCTCCAAGAGATCTCATATGGCCACTGTGAATATAGGCTCCATAGAGGCAAAAATATAGATCGAACACTGAGCTCTCTAGCGATAAGAAGTTTAAAGCTAACATTTTGAAATCTCTACATCTTAAAGGTTAAGTCTTTCACTGTAACATACCGAAATATTATCTATTTTGAGGTAAAATTAAAGTCACTAGTTGAATTTAAAATAAAAGACTGTAAGTTTTGGCATTTTGAGGTCAAAAATCAAATTTTGCGGCACTTTTCTAAATCCAGTCCCCTGACCGTTTTTCATAATTTTGCAATTTTTGAACAAAGATAGATATAAATATRCGATTTAATTCATTTATAACTTAAAGAAATATACTTATATATACATATAGTAAAACTTAGGTGATTATATGAATTTTGCAATAAAATTTGTAAACTAATCAGTTGAATTTTCGTTTTGTTCGTTCGCAAGTTCTGTTTCCTCAGAAACGGCATAACTTTCAATTCTCTTCAACATAACTTTGTTCGCTTGATCTTCTTTTCTCTTWCGCCTTCCAGCTTTTGACTTTGGTGATTCGCTGAATTTCTTCTTTAGCTTCCAAAATAATGTAGGYTCTCTTGTAAGACTGGTAGGAAGCTCTGGATTCCCTGGCTCGCCTGGAAAAGGCGTTGGCTGCCGGCCTACCGACGAAGAATTAAGATTCGTTTGTGTAAAGATGTCTTGTGATGCGTCGATTGTAATATCGTCGTGAATTTCGTTGATCACAAAGTCATTYGTGGGATTTCCATCGCTATCAGTCTCATCTTCTTCTGAKGGTGGTGGWGTACGTGTTGTCAAACTAACTGGCTTCAACTTCAGCTTTGGAAGACGGTCTTGTATTAAAACTTCAGCGAAATCATTTCTCGTAAAATGGCCAGARGAATCTTTGCTYTTTTCCTCATTTTGTGGTATTGGAGGGAGAAGTGTTCCCATAAAATGTTCTTTGATTTTCTTGCGCTTTTGTCGTGTTGTTGTTGCAGGTCTTGGTTGGATGATCGCGGGAAAAACTATTTGTACATCTTTGGGATTATCTTTCGTTTGGTTGCTTTCCACCGGAGAATTAACCGCTGCATTTTCTTTTGCTTCAACTTCGTCTTTAAAGCGAACACTYTTTCGTCTTTTTGGTCGAACCTCTYTCGGTTCAACGTCGCCCTTTGTAAAGTTTTGCCATTTTTTAAGAACAGTTCTTGCCATTTTTTTCATCTCTTCTTCTTTAACCTTTTCGACTGAGACGGCTGCTTGCTCGTTGTCTTCGTTCATGTKTTCATCGGTAGATAAAAGTCTAGAAGCCTGTCTTATTCGTAAATAATGRGTYAGTGACACACCGTCGAGAGCTTCGTAGTCCATCATRTCTTGACGAGCTTTCTTTCTTAGTTCATCGATCTTTTTTACCACTTCTTCGTCATTGAARTCYTTCTTTTCTGAAGTTTGTGAAATGCTGCCACTCAWKGCTGAAGAAGTGTCTGATCTTTTCGTATTACGCATTTTTTGATGGCGAAAAAGTCTTCTATTCTGTAATTGACTTTATATGGAAACTGGATGTTGACTTGGTAAGCTCTGTAACTCGTAATCACTTGAAGACTTGATGTTTTCTAGTTATTGATGTTCAGGTAACTGAGCTTTAAGATCGTTTGTATGCCATTAGCAGTCAATCGATATCCCTTTACAAATTGTCGCTTTGTTCAACTGCCCTACCTCTCTTTGAAGAGTAAATTAGACAATTCTTTGGCTCTTTTATTRCCATGACGTCAAACATTAACACGTCACGCCTCCATTCATCACTGAACAACCACAAACAAAAACAGACTTTAAACAAGTGTTTACATGGYAAAAGTAAACTCGTTTGTAAACGATCAAGTCAAGCAACACCTTTACTTTAATTCAGTGTTTTCCAGTTATTTCGCACAAAATCTACACGACAAATATGGGTCGCCGGAAACAAGAAGACACCATCAAAACCGTCGTAAAATTACCTTTGACAATAATGCCAAAGACTCAAACGATCATGGTGTAAGAAGTAATTCGCATTTAAGGCATTTATGTAGAATATATTCGTGGGTCTTCGTTTTATTCAGCGTCTTAGGTCGGCTTCGCTTTCCGTAAGCCCCTCCAGCACTGAGCAAGTATGGCACCCCGTTTTCAAAAGAAAAAAGCGTATAAAAACAAATCCTACTTGTTATATGTCGCACTCCAGTAAGGCCTCAATAGATCGTTATGCATACTATACAAAGATGCTACCTGCTTCTTGTTTATATAACTTGCTAATTTAGCAAAAAAGGAAATAAAAAATGATTGTAAACTCAGAGGAATTTCATGGAACGCCGTTCAATATATGGGTTTTGTAATTGAAATATCAAAATCTATCAATGCATTAATGTTATCATTAAAACTCGTTTTTATGACATTTTAACATTAAAACTTTGCTCTGAAAAGTTACGAATCTGTCGGTGAAAAAGGCGAGAGAAAATTGTACTGGTCAAATTATTGACGTGTTTTGTCCGTTTGAACATCGATCAGGGTCTTTTGCATTCAAAAAAGACCACCAAAATGATTGCAGTTTAACATCATACGCAAAAAAAAATTACAACTTCTTTTAAATAAGCCTAGCTTCACTGACGTAAATCTGCGAAGCTAAGTGAAATGGAAACGCATAAAATAATGACAAAATAACAACAACAAAACACACAGAAATATTTCTGAAATATCATAAGAATGACGTCGACGGACGGCGCAGCACTAGGCGATATGACTAGAAGGTTAATCAATAAAGAGCGTTAGATGATGTCAATGGAACAAAAATATATATATTTAAGACACTTTACAAAAGGAAATGTATTGCATCTGAAATGCAAAAATATGATGGACTCATTACTATTACCAGTGGCAATTAGTACACTTCCTTCCTGGTTCGCTATGGAAATGGGCCGGAAAAAGCACTGGACGGTTTAAGACGATTAAAACCTAAAGAAATGGTAGCAGAGATTTAAAACAGCAACAACTTCTTACAACT